GGACTTGGAACGTTGCATATAATGGTGTTAAAACATCATTTTCGCCAAAATGTGGACTTACCTCTTTCTTGCAGCAATGTCTTCAATTCTTTCCTGCTTTCAGACTTTCTTGAAACTCGACCTCTTATTATTTCCGGATGCTGTTTTAAAAAATGCAGCAGAATCTCCCGCTGCTTGTATGTGACATTCATACTAAAACAATTGTACGAATCAAATTATGGCTAATAATATAATATATATTATATAGAGTAATACGGTATAACATAATATAATTAATAGTATTAATACATACTTGCGATTTTGACAATCCACTCTTCAAGATATTTTGAGGTTACAGGACAGAAGTGAAGGTGGTTTCTATGAATTTTTCTGGTTATTTCATTTTTCCACTTTATACGTACGCGATCACTTTCAGCGTATATGTGAAAACTGGAAATATTCGCGTGAGATTACGAATTGTGGAAAGTGAAAAGTGAAAAACTCACCAATTCTTAGACGATCGCTACCCAGGAAGGTGTTGTACACTACGAATATGCTTCACAAGGTCGCATGATAAACAAGGAGTATTATATCTTTCTCATGATACAGGCAAAGGTCGGACTTTTGGGACAGACCTCGTATATCCTCTTATTATTACCGTATTGTTTGTATTCCAGGGTAAATATTTTTTAAGTTAAAAAAATTGTTCGTATAGTATATATGTTCAAATAGAAATTGGCTTATACAAAAGTTATATAAAAATATTTTGTAATTTTTACAGATGAGTGATGATCACAAATAAAGATTTGTATAATTTAAAAATACTAGTAACAATGTAAAAGTGTTGACATAGTGCCAAAGGAGTATAGTGGATAATATAAATGGGACCATGAAAAAATTTATAAAATTAATTGCTCCTTATGCCACTGTCTTAAGTAAAAGAACAATTAAATAAAATTAAAAAATTCTTGTTGTCAGCAACCTGATTATACATGGCCAAAATACTTAATAAAATTATTTAGAAAAGCAAGTAAGTTTAAAACAAATTTTTACTTTAAGACTATTTTTCTATTTTTATTTATTTATTTCCCCAATAATAATTTTTTGCTAAAAAAACTGTTATGTAATAATAATTTTCTAAAAAATTACAATATTTTAGATTAATTAAAAAGAAATTTTTAATCTGAATTTTTTTATCTAATAATTATTAATTTGAAAAAGATTATATGATTTTTTAATGATATTTCTAAATTAATATTAATTTAAACTTATATTAATACTTTAGAAACATATACTGAGGTGGAATAAAATTACAAAAAATTAAACATGTAAAAATATGCATTTAAGACATACAAACTTTTTTTTTGGCTAAGTGGAAATCCTCATGGACCGTCACCCCACCCTTCTGGGAAAGGGCGGGGTGGTGTGTGGGACTCGCCCCCTGACCCCTGGACATTTAACTGTCCAAGGGCCAGCGTGCAATGGGGGCGCCTACCGCACTAAAACCACCGGGGGTGGACTTCTTTGCGCTTGATGGGGCCCAGTGATGTTCCATACTGGAATGGGAAAACCTTACGCGCATGCTCAAAAAAACTTCCTAGGCAGTGAAAAACCTTCAATTCAAAATTATATCTATACAAATAAGGTTTGTTCGTTTTACCTAAACTATAAGTTGCACTAGTTCAAAGTTTAGCTTTTTCTTTTTCACCAACCTTTAAATATATTTTTGCCGATTACACCAAGAATAGATTTTATACATATCATCTTGGATATAATAGAACGTTGTTTTTTCTTTGTGATTTATATAGAGGGGATAAAAATAGGAAAATGGTGCTCAACATTAAACACACAGCCGAAAATCATAGAATAAATGCATTTATTTTTTTTGGTATGAACTTTGGTATGAATATATAATATTATTATGCATAATACTATCACAGTACCCATATATTATTGTAAATATAATCGTGGTACGCTGTATATTTACATTGTATATACATTGTAAATATCTATATATAGATAGCATACAATGAATTTCACCGAGTATTTGTGTGATTGTGGAGATCTAGGTGACTTTTTGTTACCATAAAATCTGTACAACAAATTTTTTCTTGATGAAAAGAGGACTTGGATATTAAAATACTATTTGTCGTATCAGCCCCGAGAAGATTACGCTTTCTAGTTATAAAATCGACCATCCATGAGAAAATTCGTTCAGCATCGGCGTTAGCGTGTGGAAGAGAAAGAGCAATTTTCGCGAAGGCTCCGATATTTTTGAAACGATACCTGTCTTCGAAATCCTGCACTTCTGAGATAACTTGCCACATTTCATCAAGAGGAAGTTTAGATAACGTTTCAATATGTTTTGCATCGAAAAATACCGAAAGTGCCATCCACTCTTCTTCAACAAGAGTTTCATTGACAAATTTTTTAAATATATTAAATAACTTTGGCATTCCCGGTACCTGCTGTCGACCCTCGGATGTTAATGCAACAGATGGTTTTAAAAATGTCAGTTCCTTAAACAAAGGGTCACTGTGGGGAAGACGCTTTTTTAACTCTGACGTTGCCGATATATAAAATTGACGTATATTTTGATAAACCTCTGTGATTTGATGTTGATGCGGTATTAATTTTAATTGTTCTTTACATTCATTGCCGACGAACATTTTGTTATGTGGCAAATAGTAATTCGAATTAAATTCGTCAATTTCATAAATTGATCGAGAAAGTATCTCTGGGCTAATGTAATTCTGGCATATACTTTTAATAATTTTTATGCTTTCGTCTTACAATACATGAATGAGCGTTTTTTTCAACGATTGAGCGTTTTTTTTTCGACGATTGAAATAATGCATTGAAGGTGTTGAACGTATTCAACACGTATTTAAGAAAGTACATATATGCTTTTATTATAGGACATTGCAACTTTCGAAGGATGTCTTTTGCTATCTCTAATTCATCTTCGGTAACTGCATCAATAAAAAAGAGCGTTAATGAGTTCCAATGTTGTAAGACTCTGATAATACACTGTTGCAGTGACAGCCATCTCGTCGTTGCAGGTTTTAATACACGATTTTTTTCCTCTCTACAAAACTCTTGGAATTCTTCTAACAAAGCCAATCGCTTCGGACTACTAGTGACGTATGTAATCATATTACGTAAGAGCATTTCCACTTCTTTTGGAAGAGCTTTACCTGAATATCCAGCAACTATGTGCGCTGAGTGACAAATACATGTACATCGTATTAAGACTATTTCAGGATTTTGTTTGATTAATCTACTGAAGAGAGAATTTCGCGCTCCTACCATAACACTAGCATTATCAACTCCGAGACCTATTATGAACTGCATAGACAATCCTTTATCAGCTATAGATTTCTCGACTCTCGTAAATAGAGCTTCTGCTGAACAGTCTTTTGCATCTAGGTGAATAAATTCAAGGAGCTTAACATGTACCCTTTTCCTTTCCGGGCAGAAATATCTCGCTAATAAGCAAAGATACTTTCCATTTTGTATGGATGTACTTTCGTCGACAAGAATAGAAAAGGGAGTAATCTTCAAAATCGAAACGAGTTTTTCTGTCTCCACAGCACAGATGATATTTTTAACGATGTTAGTGCATTTTTTTCGACCTAAAGTTACTTTGTCTAGAACATTTTTATGTTGTTGAAAAACTGGTAAAATATGATCGATCAATTGAAATGCAAGAGGATGAACCGCGAATATGGAGGCTATATGAATCTCAGCTTTTTTTATCTTTTGCATCTCGTCCAGACGGAGTTTGTTCGAAGATGTTGCAAATAACGTTTCTACAGATGGTGTTTGTTTGATAGCATTTATAGCTTTTCCGTGTTTTTTCGTACGCGAATGACACTCCAAATCGTGTTTGCCACTAACTAAATTAATGGTACTGGAGCATGCTGAACAATATGCTTTATTTATTTCGCCCTTAACTTCTTGAAGCCATCCTTTAAAGACTGGTTCTTGGATCCATGACTGCTGAAATTTTCGCGCGCGGCGAATAGTCGACGGAGAATATTCGGAAGTTATCCTCTTTGCAGCATCGACTTTCATTGTAATACCTGTAGCTCTAGGATTATTTTTTGCGTTGCTCTTTGTATTACAAGCAATAGACGATGTTGCCAATTTGAATTTCTTCGTCGGAATATCTGGGACATTTGGATTATCTTCATCACTCATCTTAATTGTCTAAAAGTATAGCCATCAGAGAAAATTATCAATGTTTTCCATATAATATAATATATTTACACGCGCACCTAGAGGCAAATTAACACTTGGCGACTACAACGTACTGAATGAAAGTTGCTCGTATTAAAAATCCTACCGAGACCAAATCGCGACATATACATATATCAAAATTAAACAAAATTGTATATATATTTACAGGTTATAGGATTAAGTGATGTTTGTTACCAACGACTTGATTTATTTCTCGACCAGAATCTTTATCAAATCCTTTGCGTTCTCAGTAGTTGAATTTAATATTAATTTGACGTCACTGCTACCTGGGTGCTGGGAAGTAAGATTATAGAACGTGGACTTCTCTTACATCCTGAGATTTCAGGTCGGAATTTGGCTTAAGACGAGAATGTTTTCTCACGTACACGTTATTATTGGTCAATAATAAAACGTCAACGAAACAAGTTCGAATCAATGTGCCGACGACAGGCAACCAACCGAGAATCTCGAATAAGAAACTAAAAGTCAGAAAACAGAATAGCTAACGGAACAGCTGAAAAACCACTAGAATTTACTGTTGACCACGGTCTTACATACAGGTCTGGAAACTCGAGTAGTGGGGGTAGTGCTCAGTTTTAAGCCAAAATTAGTTCGCCCTGTGTGTCGCTGCCATCGGTCAGTGCAAGACTCTAACCTTGACTGCGTTCGGGCAGATATAATTTTACAGATTTATACATGCTTTTATATGAAAAATTTTTTAATGTAAAAAATTGCTTATTTATAATTATATATAATTGTGTATAATTGTACAAAGTTATATATAATTATTAAATGTGCAATTTTTTCCCTTTAAAATTTTTTATACAGAAGCAGGTATAAGCATAATGGCATGTATAAATCTGTAAAATTATATAGAATTATACAGAATTATATAATTAGAATATTATAAAAATATGAAAACAACTAATGTAGTATATACATAAATTAAAACTTTTTATTTTTATTTTATTTTATTTAGTTTTATACTGTAAATAAGGAAAGGAATAATAAATGACTTTGCATTAAATACAAATGTTTACTTTATTCATTTGTTAACTTCGACAATTTTTTTTTAACAACAAATCTCTTTGTTTGTTTTAAATTTTCTTGATGGGCATTTTGCCGCATTCTTAAACGTATGTAATAAATCAGTGCATATGACAAAATGTCTGCAGCGTGAGTCATACATGGAAAAGTAAATTTATAGGTATTTAAAGCTTCATCAAGCGTTAAATCAAAGACATGCAAGTGGGAGGCGTGCTTTGCAAAGCATGACTCAATATGTCGGATG